ATAAAAGCTTAACCCAAATAAATAAATTTAGACATATACAAAAATATAAAATCTTGAAACAAATGTTTCACCATTTTATACCTCATGCTTTTTTTTTCAACTACGGCCACACAGCACAACTTATGTTATCCATGCTACGTTTCATTTATCCTCGCTAGTTTTGCACCTCCTCACCTCTTTTATTTATTTATTTTTTAAATAAACTTTTTTTTATTTCTATGGATTCAATTCCCTGCAGCAAGATGCAATGCAAAAACATATATGACGAAAAGGATTTCTTTATATGTTTTGCTTCTTAATTTTTTAAAATATAAAATGTAAATTTATTACAATAAAACATTTTTAAGTAGTTTATATTTCATTTTATTCTAATAAAAAAATGAATAAATTATAAAAAAAAACTCTTTTTTTATATTCTCTTTTTTCATTTACTTTTGTGTTTGTTTATTTTTATTGTTTAATGAAACAACTTTAAAAAGTTAAGCAATTTTACCATGATATTACTTACAAAATTACACATGGATCCAAATAATTAGCTTGAAAGAATATTAGAGTTAAGAATATGAATTAAAAATTAAGATGTTAATAATTAAAGGAATATTAAAGTTAAAGAATATGAATTAAAAATTAAGATGTTAACAATTAAAGGAAATTGAAAAGATTAGAAGACTAAAAGCAAAGTATTGAATGAGGAAAATTAAAGGTTTATGAGAAGATTGAAGGAAAAAGTTAGAGTAGAAAAATAAAATTAAAGATATTGATAGAAGAGAAAAAAGAAAAACCAAGAAACAAGGAAATAATAGAAGAGAACTTTAAGATTGACATGAAGATAGAACAGCAGTAAAAGATTAAGGAATGAAAGAAGATTGTTATTAAAGGGGAGTTACAAAATCGAACAAAATATAGAACTATTATAACTTTATAAGTTTGACAGAAATGGTGATAACACCGATACATAAGGGGAACCACTAAAAAAAATAAAGGTAAAGACGGTTAATTAAGAAATAAACTGTTTTAACTTTTCTTTTTATCTAGTTACACAAAATAATAAATATAAATTATATTAAAATATGATAAAATAGGTGTGAATAGGATTGATGATAAATTATATTAAAATACTTATATTTTAAAAAACGCTGAAAATATGAAAACAAATATTTCAATAGAATTTTTTACCATTTAAATAATTATTTTTATTAATTTTCTATATCAAATTCTATTTTATCTATTGTAAAATTATATTTCTTGTAATTTAGGATCCAATGTTTACTTTTTTTTCATAATTTACATTTCTCGTAATCCACACTTCTTGTATTTTACATTTATGCATTTTATTTTTTTATCTATTGTTTTTAATATTTTAAATAGGTTTTTATTAAGTGTTTAAGTAATTAAAATTAAAATTTATAATTATGATAATTTTATAAATATTTTTGTTAAATTAATATTGAAAAAATCATTATAAGAGTAAACTTCAGATTAATTATTGGGTAAAATATTGATTAATGCTCTTTTTATTTTTCGAAGTTTAAATTTTTAAATTAAAAAGTATTACACTTTTTAAATGGAAAAGTATTACTTATTAATAATAAAAAATCTACGAGTAACACAAATAGTTTGTATCGAATATTTTTTATTATAAACACATGTCATATAAGATTAAAAAAGTTATTTGAAACAAATAGTATTTTATTTAAGTATCTCATTTGAGTATAATTTATATTGAAGATATTATTAATAGATAACTTTACACATAAATTGTTTAGTATAAAAAAATAGATAATTGTGTTTTCGCTTTAATAATTAAACGTTATAAACGTAGAAATAAGAATCCAATTATTCCAATAATATATATATATATATATATATATATATATATATATATATTTAATTTAATGATATAGATAGTTTTTCATGGAATAGATAATTTGTTTTCTTTAATTAGGATAATTTAAAATAGAGTATTTGTCGTACGACTTTATTTGATTTTATATTAAAAATTAAATAAATCAAACATATACATAAATTAAATTAATATTTTAAGATTTGATTTAAGTAATTTTAGTTATTTTTATAATATAATTATTAAAAATATAATAATAAAACAATTATTTCATAAAAAAATCTACTAAAAATATCATTGATAATTTCTGTAATATTTATACTTTAATTTTAATTTTAAAGATAATAATAAATATTTTAAATTAAAAAATAATTATGATATATATATCTATTTTATAATTTAATTTTTATAGTATATATTATAATTTTTTTATTTAATTTAGATTAATTCCTTATTATCAAATAAAAAACAAATTAAATTGATATTTACATTTTTAAAATAAAAACAACTCTTGATTTATTTTTAGTTATTTATTAATTTTTATATTATTTTTGAATTAATTTGGTTTTAAATTCTCTGATTTAGATTTATAAAATCATTTTAAATTTAAATTCAATTTCTTCTTATCAAAATAATTAATTTAATTAAATAATAATATCAATCCATCACAATTATATATATATATATATATATATATATATATATATATATTAAAACAACTTCTAATTTATTAGATCTATTCTGTAAATTTATTATTTAGTTTTAATATTTTTAATAAAATATATAATTTTACTATTAAATTATAAAAAAATAAATTATTGAAATAGAAATAATTCTCTTACATTTATTTCAAGAATATGTAAATTTATTTATTTTCCTCTCTCTTTCTTTAGGTATATTTCAATAATTATAAAAAAAAATCAAAATGTCAATGACTTATATATTATTTATATTTCTCGAGAAAAAAATTATAATTTATAATCAAGAGTATTTTTCATTAATATATATATATATATATATATATATATATGACAAATATTATTTTTTAAAAATATATTGTCAAATCAATATCATAAATAATATATTTTAAAAAAATGTAAATATAATATTTCTAAATTTATTTACTGAATTATACTGGTTTGCGGTTTATATGCAAATTTTAATAAAAGAAAATAAATTTATTGAACATAATACACTTATTTTCCTTCTTTTCTGAATTTTTTTCTTTTTTTATCCTTCTCTCACTTTATCTAATTCTTTAATTAAAAATATTATATTAAATTTTGATAACGTAAGTATTTTATTATTATTAAAAAATAAAAATATTTAAATAATTTTGAAATATCATAATTTAATATATTATATAAAAGAGAAATAATATATAATAAATTTTAGATGTTATAAATATTATTATTATATTATAATTATTAAGAAAAATTAAATATTTATTTTAAAACATTTTTTAATCAATATTTTTTAAAATACCTAATTATCATAACTTAATTTTAAATAGATAAGAATATAAAATAAAAATATTTAAATTATAAATATTTGATGTTATTTAATTACACGAGTAATTATTTATCATGATAAAATTATTTATTATTAAAAAAAATATAATTATTTATTATCATAGTTTAAATATTTAGTTAACATTTTTGTAGTTTTAATATTTTTTTAAAATATTTATTTTAATATATTTTTATTAAATTTTAATATGATGGTTTAATTAGGAGAATAAATGAAAAAAAGAGAGAGAAAAACGTAAAACAGAAAAGGAAAAAAATGAAAAGTGAACAAATAGAAAGAAAAAAACAAAACTATGAAAAGAGAGAAGAAAAGTTACATGTGAAGACTCAATTATTTATTCTAATAAATAAATTCATATAAATTTTATTTAAGTAATTTTTTTAAATATATTATTTTTAGAATTTATGTGATTTTTTAATTCTAATAATAAAATATAAAAAAACCCAGTAATAATAATAAATGTTATATTAAATATATATTTTATCTTTATATTTTTGGTGATGCTTAGTATTAATTTTCTATTCTAAAAATTGATTAATTATTTTATAATTTTTTTAAATAATGTAAATTTAATTTAGAATATTTTGAGAGTAAATAATCATAATTAAACATTAAAATTTAAAATTTACAATATTAATTAAATATATATATATATATATATTTATGAGTTTAATAATACAAAATTACATTTAAATAAGAAAAATTAATAATTTAAATTACATAAATAAATATAAAATGTAAAAATAATCAAGTACACAAACTAAGGACAAACTTATTTAAATACTATACACCAAAATTATAAACGAAATTCAATCGAAAAAACGACTATTCATGTTAGATCGAGTTTCAATTTTTTTTCAAATATATATATATATATAGAACAAAAATATTTTTAATTTTTACGCACAATATTATTTATAAATACATCTTTTTTTTCTATTAGAGATAGGATTAAATGTTAAATATGAATATATTTTAAAACAATTCAGTCTGTATTTGACATATGTACCCAAAATTTATTTATTTTTAGTTTTATCTAACTTAAAAATATGTTGCGTGTAATAAATTAAAAAAAAAACTATATTTGGGAGATAATAAAATATTAAACGAATAAAGTTCAAATTTTTATGTAAAGGAAGTAAAATGTGTATTTTGCCCTATATCTGATACCGTTTAGCACTTGATTTAAATTTAGTACAAACAATGATTGTGATAAAATAGCAGTAAAATGTTGAATTTTTTTTGAGAAAATTCAAACTTTATTCCAACATACAACGGAAAAAAACAGTGTTTTTTAGACTAAAATTCGTTTATTACTTAATTTATTTTAAATTTAGGGCATCTAATAAATTAAATTTAATAAAATAGTAGGGACTATGGGGCACGTGTGGCGCTGGCAAGTCGTAACTGCTTCACCTTATTCCTTAACTTAACTAGCAACGAGAAATAAAGAGAGGGATTTTTATATTTTTATTTTTATTTTATTTCTTTCTTATTTCTACTTGCGTCCAGGTGAGGTATTTCCTTTTTCTTTTAGGCAGAGACTGAGTCATAGGGTGAGTGACCCGCTGCAACCCAACTCGTGCATTCCAAGAAGGGTTGGTTTTGGTTTGGTAAACTTCCACCCATGGTCTCCGAATCCGAACTCATTGGCCGCCTCCGCGAGTTCCTGCGGAGCTCCGACCTCAACACCACCACCACCGCCACCGTCCGCCGTCAGTTGGAGGTCGATTTCGGCATCGATTTATCCCAACGCAAGGCATTCATTAGGGAACAGGTGGACTTGTTCCTGCAGACCGAGCATAACCAAGAGCAACAAAAAGAAGACCAAAACGACGACGTACCAGAAGACCAAGAAGAAGAAGAAGAAGCACCTGATAATCCCGAGCAAAGCCAACCCTCCTATTCCAAGGAAGAATCCGGAGAAGAAGACGATAGTGACGAAGAGGAACGAGATAAACCTAAGCGTGCCAAAAATGTCAAGAAGAAAAAAAGCCGGTTAGTCGGTTTTTGCTTTTGATTAAAATGAAACATTACGTTTTTCTCTCAATTCTTGTGATTATTCGTGTAGATGGTACATCGAATTTGATTGGGAGCGTAGATTCCATGCCATTTTGCAATCAATGGCGTCACTTCTGGATGTTAATTCCTTAGGGGGTTTTGCCCTTTTTTTTTTTATGAAATTTGATTGTTTTGTGATGTCACACAGGCACATGGCTTTCTGTTATTTTGAACAATTGGGGTCCACTCTCATACAATGCTACCTTGCACTCTATAAATTTTGTGTGCTCTTCAAGTTAGTGACTAGGTTACTTGCCTTGCAGATTTAAATGAACAAAAAGTGTTCAGTTTTAGTTTTATTTTTTATTATATGCATCTCATTCTTTGCTTTGCCTAGCAATTTAGTGTCTTTAAGCATGCTTTCTTGTGCGGTAATGTCAGTGGATGATGACTGATCAAATTTATGATTATTTGTTGTCTCTCTGTGTTTGTGAACTGAAGTTTTCTGTCATCTGACTCGCTTCGTTGGATTTAGACAGTAGATTTTACAAGGAAAACTTTTGATTACACAATGGATGTTCCAGTCCCTCTTAATGAGTTACTCACTTTTGTATATTGTTACTATGGTTGGATTCCTGAAGTGAAATGATGATACCCTTACAATTGAATGATTGTTGGCAGTATAATGGATCCAAAGGTGGCCTTTTAAGTTGTACAGACTTCAAGTCAAATTCTTTCCCTTAGCTAAATTATAAATTAAAAGCAAATCATGTAAAACATTATTATATATGTATTATATTAACACATCTTATCTCCCTAGAATATTTTGAAGCAAACATGATATGAATGCTCGTGTGGTGTCACTATATTCAGATCATTGGCCTTATTTTTCTTTAGTCTAAAAGTAAAAAACGTAGACGGAAACTGCAGTAGTGTGTTTTTCAGAATATTATTTGCAAGCAACGACTAATTTGTGTAGTTTTGGAGCCACAACAGCAAACCACTTAAAAAGAAAATCTCTGAAGCATTTCCTGAAAATTTCTCTATAGCAAGTGTCAAGATTTTGACTCTAATTATGATGCTACATCTTTATATATAAAACACCCTTGGTGTTGCTATAACATACACGACTGCCTAGTTGTAAATATTTTCCATGGGCGAATGCCCTTGTTTTAACAGCCGCAGTTTCATCTTGTGTTTCAGATCTAACAAGTTAGGTGATGAGGTAGTAAAGAAAAGAGGTGGTGGTTTTTGCAAATTATGTAGCCTGTCTCCACAACTTCAGGAATTCGTGGGAGTTCCAGAAATGGCCAGGACAGAGGTATAGATTTTTTTTTCTTTTCTCTGGTTCTGATGAGAAACTGGTAGTTAAGGTAGATTACCACTACTACTGGTCAAGGTTACCTACAATTTCTTTAGAAGTGTGTATATGATGTGATTTTGTTTCTGGCTTTATAGCATCTATTTGTAATGTTGGCCTCAGGTTGTTAAGCAATTATGGGCCTATATTAGGAAGCAAAATTTGCAAGACCCAAACAATAAACGAAATATAATTTGTGATGAGCAATTGCGGGCCCTTTTTAATGTCAGTTCCATCAACATGTTCCAAATGAATAAAGCATTGTCAAAGCATATCTGGCCATTGGGTTCAGATGATGGTATGCTCCTACAACCTTACCCTTATTATAATTATATCACGTCGGAATAGGATGTTGAATTTTATTTTATATTGTTGTTTTTCTTTGCATCTTTTAGACAAAACACTCAATGTTGAAATTGTTCATATTCTAGGGTTTCTTGCCAAAGGTTGCTTTTTTTTTTTTTTTGGGCGCTGTTATTAGGCATATAAAATTATACTACTGCTTTGTGGACCAAACTCCATTACTTATTTTTACTTCAAAAGAAAACTTCTACCGTTTTATAATATATCCGCTGCACTGATTGTTAACTTTTATTTGATGAGACTGCAGAATTTTGCTCCCCTGATTCATTCTTCTGGTCAATATTTGTAGATTACTGAAAAAGATATTGTTTAAATTGCATCTCTTGATATAGTTGTCCAGGTGAAGTCCACACCAAAGGAAAAACAGAAGAAGCAAGAGAGAGATGATGGTATGAATAATGAATTCCTTAATGTTCTATATAATTTGTCTGCCTAATCATAGATTCTTGGCATATATAAACTGTTTCCCCTGCATATATTATCCTTGTTTACATGTTTTTATGTATATTTTCATTGTTCATAATATTCCTTTTTTCTTAATTTATTGAAAAAAGAGAGAAAAGAATAATTTGTTTATGTGTTTATATTCGAAATCATTCAAGCACACGGTAACTGGATAAAGTTTATTTGTTTTAGGGAAATTCACAGTATGTGGTAATACTTTTTATTTACAGCATACTGCCTCTATAACCTACCTCTATGACAGATCCAGATGAGCCAAAAAGAAAGGAAAAACGGCAGAAGGGAGGAGGGAAATCAGGTTTTCTTGCTCCACTTCAGCTATCTGATGCCCTTGTAAACTTCCTTGGTACTGGAGAAAGTGAGTTACCAAGAACAGATGTTATAAAAAGAATGTGGGATTACATTAAAGGAAACAACCTTCAGGTTTGTCATTGTTCTATGCCATATATATATATATATATATATAAAGTTCTGATCAGTCTCCCTACATCAGTGATAATGGCTATGTGAAAAGCATGAGAAGTTCTGTTCAATTCAAACTCCTAAACATTTTGTTCAAATAAAAATAATATCATTCCAAGTAATACCCGTATTATAACAATTTTAGATTGTGCACCTCAAATAATACCCTATTCAGATTATAACTGGCCCGTGTTGTATGAGGTAATGTGAAAAATCATTCCAAGACATACGGTGTTTGAAGTTAGCTTTAAACGCAATCATAAAATATTTCAACTCCCCACAAGTGCATCCATTGGTACTTTGACTTTTTTTCTCGAAATTCTTTGACTTTGCCTCACCAACCAATTACATTACTGACAGATGCTTATGGTTCTCTTTTCTTATATGCTTGGTCCCTTTTCTGATTTTCCGAAGTTATAAAGCTTCTAACCCCCCATGATCGAGAAAATTGGTGCTATCCAACTTTATTACTACCCTGTTTATGTAACTTCCTCATTATTAATCAATATATCCTTTTTCAGAGTATATTTTGTCTGCCAGCATAAAATACATTCCCGTTGTATATGCTAAAAGTTGTAGAATTTCATTACTTGTTTAATGGCATGCTTGGATGGAAAATGGAACGGATGGAAGGGATAAAGATGAAATTTAGTTGACCACAATCCACCATCATGTTTAAATGCTGTGTGAATCTTCACGTGTTTCCTCTAAACTCTTTTTTTATCCTCCAACACAATGTTATGCGCATACCATAGTTTTATATTAAATTGTCAATCTTCCACAAACAGTCCTCTTATTAGCATATAACTACGAACAGAAATTGTAAGAGGCTCAAAATTGAAATTAATATAAATATGTTAGGATCCTTTGTTGATCTGTGAGTATCATTATGATTATTTTTTCTTAATCATAAAGTGAGCTCATTTCTGAATAATGAATTTATGAATCATCAAATCTCCCTAAATTACATACACTAATCGGTGAAAACTCGTGAATAGATTCATTATATTTTTACTTGTGCCCCGCAAGTAATATCCCTTCGAGTTTCAGCTTGAATCAGGGAAAATGCTGGCTATCTTTAATCTATGTTTCTGAACTTTGTATGGCTGTATTGTTTGTTGTTCATGTTAGCTGAAACACCAGTTAAATTTGTGAATTCTTATTGCTTTGTGAAGGATCCTTCTAACAAGAGGCAAATAATATGTGACGAGAAGCTAAAAGAACTCTTTGATGTCGACTCCTTCAATGGCTTCACAGTTACAAAACTGCTGGCACCTCATTTTATAAAGACACATCGGTGAGTTGCTTGTACATTGTTTATTCAGTCAAGCATGGGAAGATTGGGGAATTTTGTTAATCAAGTTAGTTTCATAAGGTTTTCTTTATGTCCTAGAAATTAGTAAAATGACAGATTTTTCAGTAATTTTTTCTCGAAGATTTTTACGTTATGACCTTTTATTTGGTTCCAAATTATCCTAGTTTTGCCACTTGGCAGTTGAAATTTTTGTATATTTGGTTCCTGAAGCTGCAAGGACAATGTTGACTTCATATTCTGCTGGGCCATTTGGCAAATATTAGGAAACAATACGGATTTTTTTATGAAGATTGCAAAAGTAATTGCAATTCGGTCGAGCTAAAAAATCTCGATTTTGGTTTTCATTACTCAAACAACAACTCCACAAACTAGGGCAAAGTTTAGTACTCTGAAATGTGATTTTAGTTTTGTATAAGAATGACGATTGTTACGATTATTATCGCAGAATGAACGTTTTTTTTCTACAAAGAATAAACTCAATTAGTCATAACAATTTATTTATTTTACTTCTGACAAAAGTTTAATGTGATTTATTATTTTGATGTATTAATATTATACCTTTTTTAAGAGGAAGTTTAAATACGCTTTTTTAGTTCATATATTTGATGGAAATGGATAGTGTGTAAAGGCTCAAGGACTAGATAATTTTAAATTTCTTATTTAACGTTAAAAAAAACAAATTAAAGAATTAAATTCTATATTTTTTACATTATTTTCACAAATTATTTTTAATTTTTAACAATCACCACAGATAAAGATATTTTTTATATTTCTGAAAAGTTATTTATTATTTTTATTCTATTTGAACATCTTAATAGGACTTTTTAAATTATTTTCATAGTTTAAATCAATTTAAAATCTTTACATTTGTGTCAACTAAAAATAAATCAGTAAATTTCTTGTATAAAATTGCAATCAACATGAAATAAATCCTGTTTTGTTTATTATTTCATGCTTATTTTGACAAATAATTTTATGAGAAAAACTAAATAAAAAAATTACAACTATAAGAGTACAGAGAATGATGAGCACAGCGGAATTTTAAGAATTTATTACTCTTGCTTTTTCTAAAAATAATTAAGAAAGTAACTCAATATGTTTTTAAAAGTAAATGTAATAAAGGATTTCGTTTTAATTAAATAAAGAGTTAAGCAGGACAGAAGATATAAAATTAAGTTGAAGAAGAAGGTGAAAGGAATGAAAAGATAAATTGTTAATGTAAAAGGACGATCAGGAGAAATGCTGTAAAATTTTAAAACTAATTGTACAGTTCAAATTTATTATCAAAAGCCGTCTTAGCTCAGCTGGTAGAGCGCGTGGCTTTTAACCACGTGGTCGTGGGTTCGATTCCCACAGACGGCGTCTGTTTTTGTTTTTTTTATAATTATACATATTTTAAAAAATAAATCCCTGTTACTTTTACGTTTTGACATAACATTTATACCGGTTTTTATAATCAGTAACCCAAAAGTGATTTTTTTAGAACAAATTGAAATAAATCTAGTGATGAAGATGTTCTTATACTTTAAAGACTGCAAGCATCTTTCATAAAATGCAGTAAAAGTTTGAATCTAATTCTTTATAGAAAGAGAATAAAACACATACTATGTGTAAGTAACCATGTATTTGTGATAAATTTTATGTCATTATTAACAATACAGTGGAGTGTTTGATTATAAAAAGTAAATAACTTGTAATTATATAAGTGGACCTTTTTACGATAAAAACTAAAATAAGTATTACTAATTAATTTTTTATTGTTATTGTATATTATAATATTTTTCACGTAATTAGGAGATATTAAAAATAAATTAGTATTTAATCATATTTCAAAAGGGGTGATTGAATATTTAAATGAAATTGAATAAGAGTGATTTTAATTAGGATTAACTCGGCTATTAAATTAGAAATGGATTCATATAAAATATAATTTTATCAAAGACAAGGTTTATATTTTAATCATATATTATTATTTTATTATATTTATAATTGATTTTATGAGAGAGAAAATATTCTTAAATGCTACATGATGATAATGTATATCCCTATTTTTTTCTTACATGAAATCTTATTAAGCATCATATCTGTTCGGATCTATTTCATAGAACGAAGAATCTGGCCTATCACCATATCAGCATGCACATGTACCATGACCAATGGCAACAAATGAAAAACAATGTTTAAATTACTAAGATTTTTTTTCCTAATAAGACAAATACAAATAATATTTAATCATGAATACGAGATAATATTATTATTATTATTTAAAGAAGAAAGTGAAGGGAGAAGCAATGGCTCCCCTTGAATAGGAATATGGATGAAAGGAATAGGAAAGGAAAAAGGAAAGGAGTGTTTTGTCCTTACACAACATCAACTACACCAACCAAATCCCATCCTTCACGAATCCTTATCTCTAACATTCCCTAGGTTTCACAATTCAACTTGTTATTTTTCCTTTTATGAATATTACACTTAAAAGAAAAAAAAAAAGTGAGTTTAAGTCACTCACTTAAACATTACCTGCTGTAAACAGCATGCTATAAAAAGACATATCTTTCATGCTATAAAAATATTATTACAGGACAAAGTTAATTCTGCCAATTCAGTCACTAATTTTCAATTAATAGTTTTCCACACACTTCACAGTGAGAAAAAAACAAACATTTTGGTAAGTTGTGACTCATAGAGTAAGACTTTTTTTTTTTTTTAAGCAATATATATAGCATGTGAGGAATGATGAGATGCTTCAGAAAATTCTCAGACTCTGAAATCACAGAATCACAGAATCGAACCCAGAAATGGAATCCCAAGTGTTGGCGTCTGACGTTTCATTTCGTGGATGGATCGATCCAATTGAGAGAAAGAAAATGAAGAAAATAAAATAAAAAATGGAGAAGCCACGAATGGGTGGTGGTAGTGGACGAACAGAACTGCAGAAGAATAATATCGCGTAAAAAGTTATTCTCAGACACGTGTTGTTGTGGCGTTGGAAGTGAGAAGAGTTTTTTGTAATCTGCAAGATTCTCGTTTGGAAGATACAGTAAGCACAAGAAATGGAGGACCACTTTAGGTTTAGGTCGTTCATTAGGGTTTAGGGTGTCTGAAGAAAGAAAAAGGAGACCAATACTCCATCAATCATCGTCTTCATAATCATCAAAATGCTATACTATTTAAAAATTAGTTATAATTAACTTTAATATTTTTATTAAATAATTATCTAAGTTAAATATAAAAAATAAATATATTATGATTTAATATAATTTTAATTGAATATAAAATTTAAATTAAACTGAAATCAATTTCATTTAGAATTTATTATTATAAAACATTTGTTATAAAAAAATATGTTAAACATTTTATAATTAAAATTTTTAAAATAAAGATATATATTGTAGAAAAATTATGTTTTTTTTTCATATTTATAAATAAACTATATACTTTTATAATTAAGATTTTACATTAAAAAAATTGTTTAAAAAATATAAATATATTAGAGAATTATATTTATAATTTTTTTGCCCACTTTTAAAGGTACCAAAATAATTTTAATAATTAATTGTTTTAATTTTTATTAGGTACCAAAATAGAATAATTCACAGTAAAAATTATGACAAAAGGATAACTTAGGCACGCGAGTTTAATTACATAAATACACTTGTCTTTCACTACAAATCTAATTTAGTCACTAAAAAACAATTTGACTACAAATCTAATTTAGTTACTAAAACAATTTGATAGGAAAAATAGTTTTTTATTGGCGAATTAATTGAAGAATTGTTTGTGGAACTCTCGCTATCTTGCATAATATCCAAAATAACAATAAAAAATATAAATTAAAAAAAGTTGTGTAAATTGAAACAATCTTGAAACATGATTTTGAAGAGTGGCAAAATTTATGATATATAAATATCACCAAATAATTCAAATTATAATTTATTTAAAAAAATAAAAAAAAGTAATAATTTATTACAAGAAAGTAAAACATTATTTTTTGAAATAAAAAGTTTTGGTCTTTTTATTTGTAGAAATTGAAGTATATAGATAAAAAGATACATTTTTTTCAAAAAAAAATAAAAAAATTTTAGACTTACTATAAGAGACGTGAATACATCAATACGTTAATACATCAATAGATAAATGTTTAAAGTTATATATTTTATCAATTAAGTCTGAGTCGATAAACTAAAATATCTTAAAACTTTAAGAATTTAGTATATACAACACAAAAACTTACTTATTATTGAAGTATTGTTAACTCATTTATGTATAATTTAGAAAAAACATATGAATAAAGTTATCTACATTTTAAAAGTGATTATTTTTCACACAACAAGTTGATTGGATTGAATAATTGGAAGATATATTATTGATATCAATAAATAACTTTATATTATATTGTTAATAGAAAAAATATGCAATCATTAGTAAAAAAACTTTTTACAACAATTATTTTAACCTTTTTATATTGGTTATAAAACTAATATAGATTTAGTAAACTTAGAAAGTTATATATTTTTTATATTAATTGTTAAAGAACTGACACAATAAATATTTCTATATAAATTTTTAACATAATTATCATATCAAATTTTATTATATAATCATATTTCTCATAATTATTTTATCAAATAGTTTCAATACAATAACTAATTCTAAACATTAAACACAAACATTATTAATGAAACAATTAAACATAAAATATAGATAATTCTCATTTAAGTTGAATGAATAATCATTTATAAAAAAAATCAAAATAACAATAATAATCTAATGTATTAGAACATTCAATCAAATAGCATCAGACTATGAAATACAAATAAATATAAACAGAGAGAATTAGACAAAATTTTTTAATATTACCTTTCTTATAAGCGAGAAATTAAAAAAATAATAAAAAAAGAGAGTATATAATAAATCTAAATTTTTTTATAACAGTTTGAACTATCATAATATGCATTTATTATAATTTAATTTCACCTACTAGAGAAAATAAAAGTGTTTGTATTTAAGATTGACAAAATCACACACTCTACTAATTTAAAATTAAATAATATAAAAAGTGTCTGAGTTTAAAATTAACAAAAATCACTTACTAAAGTTTAAAATTAAATCAACGTATAAAAATCTTCTTTTTTAATGACAATCATAATAAATTACTTATTATTTCAGTTAAAAATTAAATTATCATAAAAAATAAATTTTAATTATAAAAATTATTATTGTTAAATTGATTATGAATGATAAATTAGAACTGTCATAATAAATTATCTTAAAATACTATTTTTATATTAGTGAATATGATCTTAAATGTAAAAAAAAATGTATAAATTTAAAGATTTATATTTAAGATGGGTAAAGGTTTATAATTCAATTTTTATTATAAACTTTTAAATATTTATCTACACATTCTATTAAATTATATTATAATAATAAAATCATTTATAATAATATTAGTAACATAATACAAAATTAACGAAACATATTCTAGATAATTTTGTTATAAAAATAAAATTAAAAAGAAAAATTCTAAAGTTATATGTGATTTATTTAAAAATCAATTAAACTAATATTTATAGTATCAAATAAAATATTATAAAATCTACCCTCATAAAATTTATATGCTCTAAATTATCATGAATAATGAGATTTTATTTTATAGAATATGATTATATAAATTATATAATTAATAATTAATAATTTTATAATTATATGAGATTTTTTATAAAATATAATTATACAATATTTAATTAATAATTTTATAATTATAAATATTATAATTTTTAATTAATATATTTATATGTACATATTTACACAGTTTATATTATAATATGAATATATATATATATATATATATATATATATATATAGTTTTATATTTTTTAAGTCAAAAATATCAATAAAAATAATTTTATATACAAAAATAAATATTTAATTTTTCTATTCATATATCTTTTAATTAATTAAATAAATTTTATCTTTTATTAAATTAAATGTTATCATCATTAACTCTGACAAAGAAAATCTTTACAAAACTAAACTAAATATCAAGGTGGTCAAATATTATTTAAGTTTGATTATAGAAAAAAATTATTGACAGATCAGGTTAACTATAAATACATTATAATTCTATAAAAATTGAGATAATGTCATTAAATTATGAATTCAATTTCAATAGTACAAAATTCACTCAAAGCAAATAGTTGTCAAATATTGGATGCGGTGGCACAAATTTGACGAACATAATAATTTAAAATAGAGTGATGTGAGATACGAGAGAATAGTGATTTAAGCGAAAAGACAAGAATACCCCTACCGCTTTTGATGAATGTTGCAGTTATGTGTCAAGTCAACCATACCTTGCTTTTCACCACACAACACAACCCATCCAAACAAAGAATCTTTGTAAAAAAAAAAAAAAAAAAAATATATATATATATATATATATATATATATATATATATAACACACCAACCCACAATTCAATTAATAATTTTTCACATTTTCGCCGCGTTGAATACGGAATCCAAAGATTCTTCTCCCGAAGCAACACAAAATAATTATTTATTCTTTGTTATTTTTTCATGGCTTCTCTCACCTAGTAACCTTTCAACTTTTTTTTTTTTTTTTATTTTATTTTATTGTCTTATAACTTTTCTCTTTCTCTCTGTAATTCATGAACTCTCTCTTTAACCACATCAGTTTAGGGCTGTCCATGTCCCTGTCCGAGTTCATCCAACATCCCAATAAAATCAAAGATTTTTGAATAAATAATCAAAGAATTTTCTTATTTATAAGTTCATATAAAAAATGTCGTATAGTAATATATTAGTATATTTTAATTGCAATAAGAAATAGGTTTATCAACAAACCTTTCAAATTGACATAAATCTACCAATGATATGTCATTAGATCTAAACGTCTTAATTGGATTGGATTTATTGATGATTTATCATACTACAATTTTGATATGAGAAAAAGTTTTTTCATACTTAAAATTCATAAATTCTTAAATTTATGATTCTTAACAATTATTAGACTTTATTGATTGATCATGGATAATTTTTTTAAAACATCTATAACAATTTTTTTAGATATCAGACAATGATTTAATTTTTTGTCAGAAACTTTAATCATCTGTTATATTAAACGATATAATGAAACTTAACTGCTATTTCCACTGTAGTAAAAGAAATTTAGATTATCTCTTTTCTTTATAGAAATAATTTTTGAGAAACAGAACAAATAAAATATTCCTTAAAAAGAATATTAAAAAAATATACGAAACACATAGACAACGAATATTCCTAATTTCGTATTCTTATAAAATAAATAAAAAATTCTTTATACCAAAACGTTTAATAATATTAATTAATTTATATTTAAATATTATGTAAACTCTATACAATTTTATGTGTTGTCCACCATTAAAACGATACTAGCTCTATTTTATAAAGATTATAATTTAAGGTTTATTTTAACATAAATTAAGACAACAACAAGCATATAGCATTTGAAATACTTTTATTAAATAATTCAATTTTCAATAAATACACTATTATTTTTATTAAGATAATGATTAACTTGATAAGAAAGTAAAAGTAAAAAATTAATGTTCCCTTGAAAATTTTAAACACAGTAAATTTAAGTGTTTTAAAAAAGATTAAAACTTCATTCATTATAGGAAAGAGAGAATAAATTAATAAGTAAGAAATAAGTGTTTAAAAAAATGAAAAAGTAATTAATTTTGGGAGGAGGAGGAAGTAAGAGAGACACACGGTGGGACAAAGACGCGACGACCCGAATGCGGGCACCGAATCTTTTTGTCCTGAATCTCAATCTCCCTTTCTTTATATATAAATGAATCTCTATCCTCTTCTTCTTTACGCCTTCCTTCTTTATCACCTCAAATCAGGGTATGGTAGTTTGCGATTTGTGGGAGCATACTCTCCACTCACAGAAAACATCCAATCCACAACACCACCGTGCTTTCATGGAGCTCAGCTTGGACTTGAGTTTGGGCTTTGTCCCCAAACCCATTTCCCTCTTTTTCGGGGAAGTTTCTGGGAACAGAGACAAGCGTGACAAAGTTGCCACGCTCGACGGCTTCGTGCAGAGATTGGAGGACGAATTGAGGAAAGTTGAGGCCTTCAAACGCGAGCTTCCTCTTTGCATGCTCCTCTTGAACGACGGTGTGTGCTTGTAACTTTTGTCAATAATATTATTATATCCTTGTTGTGCATTTCTTTTTTTCACAGCGGTTATCTGGACATGCAGCTATAGCAAGATTGAAGGAGGAAAAAGTAAAGTGTTCAATATTGCAAGATCCACCTGCAAGGGAAGAGTTTGTGCCACTGAAAACCAACTCTGGGGGTAACGGAAATGAAAGATGTGAGAAGAAGAATTGGATGAGTTCAGCTCAGCTTTGGAGCAATCTGAAAATAAAATCGGTAATTCTATGTTAATTTTGAATTCTTGATTTTTCTCTCTTTTTTTACATAGAGAGAATTGATACAAGAAGTTTTTTTTTTTTTTCTCTTTTTTTTTTTCCCTCAATGACAGAGGAATGGAGAAGGTGATAGGTCTGTGCCAGAGAACCCAATTAATGGGAGCTCGTCTGCCCAGAGGAAGGAGGGTTTACAAGTTCCTAGCTTTGGTTTGATGGGTCATGCGTCTGAACTGAGTCATAGCAATTCCAAGAGTGTTTGTGGAGATACTAGTTCTGGCTCTTCTTTTCTCCGTGTTGAGGTACAGAGTCAGCCGCAACCACCGCAACATATGCAGCAGAATCCTAGGAAACAAAGGAGGTGCTGGTCGCCGGAGCTTCACCGGCGTTTTGTGGATGCGCTTCAACAACTTGGTGGAGCACAAGGTAGGCGATTCTTTGTCTTATGAATTGGGTTGGGATGGTCCTTTTAAGGTTTTAAAAGAATTGTTGGGTTTTTAGGGTACACCAGTTGCATTTGTTTGCAATTTTCGGCAATTTAAAATCTTTAATAAAGAGAATTTCTTGCTTTTCTCATCAAAAATTGAAACTTAGGGTCTTGGTCTGTTTGAGATTAACGTGTACCTAACTGGGTTTTTAAAAAATGGTCCGATTTTGAATTTGAAGTGTTTTAGGGAGTTTGAGATCACAATTGTGATTACATCAGTTGCATTTGTTTGCAATTTTCGGCAATTTAAAATCTTCAATTAGGAGAATTTCTTGCTTCTCCCATCTAAAATTGGAACTTAGGGTCTTGATCTGTGCGAGATTGATAAGTACTCAATTGGTTTATTTTGTTTTGTAGTGGCCACTCCTAAACAGATTAGAGAACTGATGCAAGTGGAGACCCTGACAAATGATGAAGTGAAAAGCCATTTGCAAGTGAGTGTTTCTTCATTTTTTTTTTTTGGGTATTTGATCATGCTAGGCCATCCATGATTAAACAATATCTATTCCCTTAGATGAAACTCAGTATGAGGAATTAGTCTTTAGCATCTGCTCCAGGTTCACATAAAAATACAGTCCATGATTATTAATTATCACTACTAGTTGTTTTCTGCTTCTTGTCAACGACTTATGTGGAACTGTGGTTTATGCAGAAGTACAGGCTTCATGTTAAAAGATTTCCAGCTTCATCAGTTGGGCAGGCTGATAATGGCTCATGGATGGGCCAAGATGAGTGTGGGGATAAATCAAAAGGAAACTTGTCATCACAGTCTGGTTCTCCACAAGGTCCTCTCACACCTCTCCTCCTAGGAGGAGGCGGGTCTGCTAAGGGTCTCTCAAGCCCTGGACGGAACAGTGTGGATGCAGAAGATGAGCAATCAGATTGCAGGAATTGGAAAGGAGGGCTCCACCAGCACCTTGAAGCTGATAATCAGAGCCTCTAAAATTTTGCAGATAAATGAGAATAAAATACATAAACATCGAAGACCCTGAGATTGACAACATAAGAATAACAGATCTAACACATAGAACAATAGGGATCAACTTTATCCTACCATTATTTTAAACTGTTTGGTAGAGAGCCACTGAGGTTTTGCAGATTTTTCAGGTTTCTTTTTCTTTTTCTAAACTCGGTATAGTTGTATGGAGCTTAAATTTTACTGGGAAATTTTCGTAGATTAATCCTCATTTATGTTATGTGTTTTGTGGTTTGGCTTTTTATGCAAATGGCACCAAGGTTTATTTCAGGATATGCTGAATAGAGGCACAAGATTATCTGCTAACTTTTGCATCATTAACAATAAAGTGTTAAATGAGTCTCTGCTATGATAGCATGAGAATATTGATGGACTTTCCTGATCTTAAGTAGACGTGCTTTTCAGCATTTTGGCTGGATCTTATTAAGGTTGACATAAAGTGTCAGGATTTTTCCAACAGCGTATCAGTTGTCAATATTCAGTGATAGATAGCTTTTTCATACATCCAACTTGGTGCTATTCTTTCACTCATCTTATTCTCGCGTAAAATTGTCTCTCACAAACGTGCATAGGTTCAATCTTCACCATCAATATCTATTTTCTTTTCCTTCCAATCGTACTATCACGTATCAACATATTTCCTTCAGATTGATAGGCTCCACAGGACTCTTTTTTGGGTAAGAATAGTTGCGGTTGTTCTTTCACAAGCATCAATCCTCACATGTCCCTTTTAAAAAATTATACTTTCATTATACCAGATTTGAGAACTATGTCCAATATGCATCATTATAATTTCACAACATGGTGCTTTTAACACTCATAAATAAAATATGCATGTTAGTGAAGCTTTTATTTGTTTTATTTAAGTATAAGCGAAGTTTTTGACGATCTAAGATGTTTTTTAAATTGCTTACTTTTGTTAATATTGTGATTTAAATATTTGTGAAATGTTTTAGTATAATTTATAATATGGACACAAGCTCGTTCATCTGTTATTAAAAATTTATTTAGAGAAATTTGATCACTTTTTATGATCTAGGACTTAATTTTTTCAATAACTTATTTGAATATGACAATCTATAAGTACCTTCTTTTATAAAATCACTATCAAAGTCCTTAAAAACATTATGTTTACTTAAAAATAACACTGTTGTACGAATTAATAATTTAAATATAACTGAATAATGTTATTTAATATTTTTCCATGAAATAGAAAATAATAGACGAATATGAATACGTTAAGAAAGATAACGTATAAAACTAACAAAATATTTATTAAAAACTAATATTTTCAATACAAAATATATTTTTTAATTTTTAATACTCATTAAAAAACTAAATATTTTTTAGAACTACTTCATAAATAATTAAACAGATTCATTGGACATGATCACATGAAAAATTAAAATACTTAGTAAATATTAAAATTAATGCACTTGATATTCATTAAATAATTATATGAAACGTTAAACAGATATATATCAATTCCCCTCATGGGAAAGCTAATTTTTGTTTCAGTAAATACTGAATTAATTTGTGTGATTGTGATTCGTGGTCAATTGGGTAACTAATTTTTTCTCTATTTCTCTCTTCTCCCTGCATTTGATTATTTAAAGAAATATGTCAATAATAACTATCAAATAGTAATTCCATCGTGAACTGTTGTATGATTATTATGTATGATTTGTTAATTATTATTATTAGTTGTGAAACAATGACTATATAAATATGTTAAACATTTTAAAAAAATTAATAATATTATATATTTTCTCTTATCATTTCTTGAATTACTTTATGTGATCTTGCTATTGTGGTTGTTATCTTTAAAAGTTGTATCATCTTAACCTATTTGTCTATATCATGGAAAGAAAATAAGTTCTAACCAAAAATTATAATTAATAATGAGTTTTTTATATTATTATTATTTGTTCTTAATGATAAGAACTACAGGATGTATTTTTTTTATTAGCAAAAGAAAATATATTAAAAGCTACTGTGAGGTGCAATTTACATCGTTTGATTACAAACTGTCTAATAATTCTTCGTCCACATAAATACTATGTGAGTTATAACCCATTGTTAAGTAGGTATTCCTTAATGTAAGGATTTCCCTCCAAAATATGCATACTTATACAACCTGACCTATTTTAACAAAGATTAATCACTTTACAAGATAGCTCATAGCCTTCATATTTTCCTCTTTATCACACATCGGTCAAAACATATCTTTGATTGTACTCTCCAGTTGTGTGTGGTGAATAATACCCCTTCAAATTTTGTCTGGAGCCACATTCTTATCTCAATTTGAATCATTTCAAATATTTCCATATCTGTTTTGCTCCCTGCTTTGAATACATTTTCATTCCTCCATTGTCATATTCCCCATATCATTGCAACTCATATAGTTACCCAAATTTCCTTATGTTTTCCTTGATTCCACAATCCTAAGTGTTGGTCGAAATTTTTCTCTGCATTCCTTAATAAGGCCACTGAATATCCCAACCACTCATAACACATTCCCCACATCATATATGCTCTTTTGCAATGAAAGAATATATGTTCATTTCCTTCTTCTTCCAATCTACATAGTCCACACTTCACTTGTTATTCATCTAGCATTAACCCTCTATGTTGGAGGCTCTTTTTTGTCAGAATTCCATTCTTTATTAATCTCCATGCACAAACATTAACCTTCAACGGGGTCCAATTAGATCAGAGTTTGTTGAAATTAAAATGATTTTATTGATTGTTCTGTGTTATTGCGTGAATTGTCTTGTAAGCAGTTCTAATCGTATAGACCCCTGAACTATCTGCTTCCCACCACCATGTGTCTTCTTTTGTTGGATCAATGATTGTGTTACCTCCCACCTGTCTCAGATTTGTCACCAACTCTTCTTCACCATTTTGTAAACTCCTGCTCCAATGAAATTTCCAAGCCCTTTCCAGTTGTTCTTGATCCATCATATTATGGATTGTAGCTTCTTTATTTTCTGTTAGTTCAAATAAACTTGAGAATTCATCCTTTAGTCTTTGATTTCCTTCCCATTTATCATACCAGAATCTGGTTGTTCTTCCATTCCCTACTTTTATTTTCATTGCTTCATCTATCCATGGTCTATTTTGGTCCTTGATTGTGTAGCATACATTGTTTATATCCTTCCACCAATTAGATCCTCTTCTCCATTTCCTTTCGCTCATCTCTTGGCCCTCAAAACAGTCTTACCCATACTTGACTTTCAATATTTTGACTCATAAAGCTTGACTATTGTTTTTCAAGTGCTACTTCCATTTACCTAGTAAAAAAACATTAAACAAGCGCAAATCCCTTAAACCCAACCCCCTCTGACATTCTAGTAAGACACATATATACAGAAGTAGGCAACTTAAAAAAGGAAAAGAAAAATAAAGAAAATATTCAGTTTTCATGAATTTTGAGAAAAAAATTTATGTTGCAACAAATGCTAAAGAAGTCCGAAATAACTTAAAGAAAAATTATTAAGAATGCAAGAAAATTAAGAAAGTGAAGCTTAGGTAATATGAATTTTTGCATATGAAATAAAGTCACATCATATCTGACTACTTCACCAAGATTCTATCCTTGACAAACCAAATGAAAACCAAATGAAGAGATGAAGAAAGATGGTGAAGGATTTGGTGGTTAAGAAAATGTTCCAAATATTAACTTTTAAATTCAATCATATTATGGTCTAAACAAATAAGTTAAAGGACATTTAGTCCCTTAAGATTGGAGGATTAAGGAGAAGAATCCTGACAAGAATTTTGATCAAGCTTTACATATCCAATTAAGTAAAAAGTTATTTGTAAGAAGGAATATGCAAAGAAAAGGAAAAGGAAAATGGAAAAATAATAAAAGAAAAAATTCAGAGAAGCCAGTCAAGACTCGAGTTCATTATCCTTAATTGTAGAGACTTTAATCACTTTGCATTTGAATGCAAGTTTAATCGTGATATTAATGAAAAAGATGCTGAAGTAAGAATTACTTAGAGAGAAGAATTAGAAGAGGAGCAAGTGTTGCTCATGGTCACAAACAAAGATGAGTATGAAAAGAGCAATTACTCGTAACCTGATGTTGGGTGTTCCAATCATATGATTGGACATAAGGATTGATTCGTTAATCTTAACAAGGCTACCAAGAGCAAAGTGAAATTCGCATATCATAGTTTCATTTATGCAACTAGAATAGAAAATATTTTAAATCAAAAGATGATAAACACTCTTACGTTTCTAATGTATTATATGTCTCTAAGATGGAGAGTAGTTTGCTCAGTCTTTATCAATTGTTGGAAAAAAGGTTATATAAGGATATATTGTTGAAGACTTTTTATGTTGGAATTAAGGGAGACGAACATTAATGTTTAGTGTTCAGAATTCTCATGAAAGCTTGAAATGACATTAAAGGTATTGAGAACTGATGGGGTAAAGGGTACACTTCTATTGAGTGTGTTGTAATTAAGATAGTTTAATTCATGAGGTGATAATATCCTACACTTCATAATACAACACTGCAGAAAGAGGAAATATGATAATCTTGAATGATTCAAAGCAAGTTAAAGACTGAGAAATTGTCTGACAAATTTTTATGTGAAGTTGTCTCAATGATTATTTATATTTTGAATAGATGTCTTGCAAGGGATTTGATGAAATTATTCCTGAAAGGAGCATGGTCAGGCTTAAAATCAAATATTAGTCACTTCAGAATCTTTGATTATATCACTATATCTATTCAAGCGTGCATGTCCCTATTGTGCAGAGAAAGAAATTGAGTTATAAGAGTGAAAAGTTGATTTTCCTTGGATATCATTCTATAAGTGTATACAAAGTCTATAATCATCTTACTCATAAAATGATGCTTAGGAAAGACTTGACTGATGATACTCAATATTACATATTGAGAAGGATACTGAACAACAACCAAAGATAAAAATTTAGAATAAAGAAAAACATAA